AGTAATTATCTGCTTCTGTCGGTCCGTATTAAGAGGCAATTTTTATAGTTTTTTTGTTTGTTTGTTTGTTTGGAAGAGGTTTGTATGTTCTAAAGAGAAGATCATTCAGAAGAATGATCTGTAGGCAGAGAACTAAAAAAAAACATAGCATACAGTATTAAGATATTAAAAGCGGGAGAAGCAGTTATGGGCCTAGACCCATGTATGTCTCTATTCTTTCTTTATCTTTTGGCCACGAGGAACACTGACTTTCCAAGATGCATGTTCTTCCTTCTTTATTTGTTACTTTAGTGTTTTTTCAGATAGCCTGACTCAAACCCCCAGAGAACTAATTTAGCAGGTCAGAAGTTTATTTCCAGTTCTACATGCAGAATAGGTAATGATTTCATTGTGGGAGATGGGGTACGTGATATGGATCCAGAGTAGGAAAAGCGGTATCCACCTCCTCGCAGGCTTCGCTTCAAGTAAGAAAGCTTCAGAAAAGAATGGGTGTGAGCCCAAAGGATGGGCTGTCTCTGTTGGGAAGGAAAGAGCTTGCAAACCCTTCTGTTTGTTTATAAGTATGCTTATCACTTAATAACACACTTTTCTTAGCAGGCTCTTTTGAGCCCACTGAGAGCTGACTAGTGATTTTAAAATCCTATGTAATAAAAGCGTAGTATGCAAATTGTCCCCTCTACTGGAGTTCTTCCAGGAGTTCTACCAGGGGGCGGGGCGGCCGGGGGAAGGGTGGGAGGCCCTGGCCAGCGGCTGTGGCAGGTGGCCAGGGGAGGGAGGGAGTACCCAGCCAGTAGCTGGCAGCTGCGAGGGACCCTACCAGTGCACGAATTTTGTGCACTTGGCCTCTAGTGTATGTGTGTGTGTGTGTGTGTGTGTGTGTGTGTGTGTGTGTGTGTGTGTGTATATTCCTCCAGTGCTCCATTTAGCTTAACCATCTTTGTCTTCTTCCGTGGTGCAGCCATAGCATTTTCATTTTTTCAGATACTGAGAAGATGCTGGAATGTGTGTGTAAACATGACTGTGTAGTGGTGTTTTGTTAAGCCATTCTAAAATTTGTGTATTTCAATAGAGGTGGAAGTTTGTCCCAGGTGATGTAAATCACATTACCTTGCTGTGGGCATCCAAGGACTTCTGCAAAATCTCCAAACGTCCAAGTGGTTTCAGCTCCTGTAATCAGCCGCAGTTGACAAAGCAGAACTCATCCAAATTTCTCTGTTAATTCTGTAGAAGAAAAGGGAAGAGTTGTCAGTGAGTCAGCTGCCTTGGTTAGCAAACAAACATAGCTTTTTAAGCCCAGAAAATTACAAGAACCTGCAAGTTATCTCTATTTTGTTTTTCTTATCAGTGTTTCCTCATCTTTCTATATGCTATATACTTTTTCAATGTCACAAAGCACTTGAAGAGAGCAATTCTCATATACATATATATCATCCCTTTAAAAAAAGTCAAGCATAGGCAATTACGGTTGCATAGGATAATAACAGACAAGTAAGATGAGTATTTGGAGGACAGAGAAGCTTTTAGTTAGAGATAACACTATTTTTGTTAAATTGCCAAAATGTTATTTATAGAACCTTTCTGTGCTAGAATATCTGTGTATTCACAATTTTGCCAGGTAAATGTTTTAATTCTTTGAAATCACAAAAAAGTAACATATGCTCATTATTGCCATCTAAAATATATAAAGAGGTACTGAAAAATTGTTAATATTCTCTTTGTTCTCACATTCCCAACTAGGATTTTTATTCTATTTACAAAGTTGAAATTACATTATATTCATGACCCCCCCCACACACACACTGTAAATATTACTTTTTAAATTTGCTTTGTTTTACAAGGTGTCAAAGACACATCTCTGTGGATAGATCTAATTGGATTTAATACATTCCTTCCAACAGCAGGTAATAGAATCCATACAGCTTTTTCAGACTCTTTTCCTTCATGGGCTTTCGGATTATTTTCGATGCTGCGATAAGCCTCCTTGTCATGAAAAGAGCTCAGTTTAGAATCACCCTGTGGGTTCCAGTGCCTGGCCAGCGACCTCTAAGTCACAGACACCTTCTGTCAGGAAGGTCAAGTGCCTGTCACTGTAGGGGCTTCCTCCCCACAGCCCCATGGGAATGGGCTGGCGGAAGTGCTCGCCTTGTGGTGGAGCATGGCATCCTGGTCACTCCGTCCGTGTGGCTCTCAGAGGAAGACAGTGCCAAGTGGGAGTTGGGAAATGACCCAGGCAAGCTCCAGAGAAATGGGCCTGTGGCTTAGCCTCCCTGCACGTCCAGTTCTGTTTTTTATCTGGAAAGGGTAGTTAGTGAGTTAACGTTGACAAACATTTGGTTTTGTGATGAGCTTGTTTTCTAGCATCAATTTATAAAAAAGGACTAATTTAGAAAAATAATAAAGGCAAAAGCAAAAACTTCCAAAATAGCAGCCAGCAGCAATGAAACCTTGACATCAACTTGGAGGCCAGCATCCCTTTTTCCGTGTGGATGACCCATTCCCAGCCACCTTTTGGAAGTTTTCTTTTAATGCACAAATGCTAACTCAGGACTCCTTTAACATATCCCCTTTTGCTGAAAAGAGTCTACCCATTTTTATTTAATATAAATTATATAGTATATAATTATTCATCTTAATTTTTTAAATTTGTCATTATCTTTAATTTTTTAATATATATTTTTCTTGATTTCAGAGAGGAAGGGAGAGGGAGAGATAGAAACATCAATGGTGAGAGCTGTTTATACATATCTCAGAGACTTGGAAAGCTAATTTTGTGGTAACCCACATCGTCCTCTTTCAGAGTGAGCTGAAACTAGATGCTAGATTAGCAGCTGTGCAACTCTAAATAAGTCACTTAACCACCCTGTGCTCCAGTTTCCACATCCACATAGTGAGGGTGATTCCTCACTACCTCATAGGGTTAGTGGGAGGTTTAAGTGAGAGTAATAGACATGAAAATGTTCATGCAGTGTTGAATAAATGCTGGTTTTCCTCTTAGAAAACTTAGGAGGTTTTCCAGGCAGAAGATATTTCTTGTTAGGATTAAAGTGGGCACACAGGAGAGTGGTATAGTAAATAAAACTTAGTGAGACGTGAGCAATGATGCCAGTAATCAACCATATGGTTTTGTAGTTACAAAGAGTTTCTATACCTTTTATTTCGTTAGTTTTTCTGCAAGAATTCTCTGAATGAGTCAGGCCATTTTTTTTATAGTGACTCAGAGAAATTAAATGGATTAACCAATATAACTTTGTAAGCCAGGAATGTTCTTTTTGAATAATAATCCAGTGCTCTTTACATTAACTTATACTCTTTCAATGCCAGACAGTTGGCAAATATTAAACAATTAGAAGTCTAATTGAGCTCAAAACTGTGTCTTAAATTCTAGAATTGTTCTCAAATTTTCCCTAATTCCTAGAAAAATGAAACTGTCTGGAGAAGTAGCCTAGTTACTCCTGGATTCCCCAGGCCAACACTAAACTCAATGTGCATGCTATAGGCCCAAAAGAGTTGCATTTTTAATATCAAATGCACATATTGTGTGACTGTTTCCCTTCATTTTTAGCATTTCCTGAACTGAAGCTCACTGATTGGAAAGGGCTCTCTTCATGAAAAGTTTGATTTGCTCTGTGTATATAGGCCAATGTTCACAAATTTCTACCCTCAAGAGCCACAAGTGATGATTATCTCCATCCTTTGGTTGATACTCCGCACATTCTGTGTTGTTATCTGTGCTTGCATGGTTACCTTCTTTCTTCCCTTTGAGAGCACAAGTCCCCTAAGAACAGAGAATGTGTCATTCCTCTGTACTCTCAATGCCTAGCTGAGGGCCTAACATTTAATAGCTTCTCAGTAAATTCTTGTTCCTGCTCCTGCTGCATTTGCGATACTGTTCGGTGTTGACTTCTTAGGATAGATTCATTAGGAAGCATCATATGATACAGAGAACATTTTAATGGTTGCCAGAGGGGAGGAGAGTTGGGGGCAGGGGGATGGGTGAAAAAGGAGAAGGGATTAAGAAGTACAAATTGAGGTTACAAAATAGTCATGGGGATGTAAAGTACAGCATAGGAAATATAGTCAGTATTGTAATAACTATATATGGTGTCAGATGAATACTAGACTTACTGGGGGTCACTTCATAAGTCATATAAATATATAATCATGTGGTTGTACACCATGAACTAATATATTATTGTATGTCAACTGTAATTAAACATTTTTTAAAGGTGAAAAAAGAAAACATCATATGAAATAGTTTTAGAATAAGCAGTATCGACTACCTCTCTCTCTGTATAGTGAGTGATCTCTTGAGAACCTTTTTGTAGAGACCGACAATTGCTGGGAAGGTGAAGGATGCTTTAGGAAAGTGCTAGGAATTACCATGTCCATTTGAAGGCAAGAAAAGATAAAACGAGTCCTACTCTCCCCAACAGAACATGCAACATTAAAAATTAGGTCTGAGAAGAGCACAGAGAGAAATACACAGCTGTCCCTGGGGGGTGGAGGGGGAGCCTTTGAGATAAAGTTGAATTTCTTATTTCTAAAGAGTAGGAACAGCGTGTATTTCGTTTGCTCCTCACAGATTATAGTGATTTGGTTTTAGGCTGAACAAACACTCAAAGCAAATCCTGGCAGGCAGAGTCTGTTTGGGAGTGGCCAAGCAAGTCAGTGTTCATTTCCTTCCCAGCCCCCTTTGGCTGATCCTGCCATAGAAAAGCAGAACAAAAGGCAAGAGATTGCTGCACCCTAAAACATGCAAGTGGCTTTTTTGGCTCAGGGGTTATTTTTAGCAATCTGGCTCACACTGAGAACTTCCTGCTCTACTCTGTGCAGATGGAAACTCTGGGACCAGAAGAGTAGACATAGATGCAGGGTGTGAGCAACCATGAGATTCCCAAGCTTGTTGTGTTTTTCAGCCAGCCATGCCTTCCAGCCACCATTGTGAGTGTTTACCTCGGAATAGGCTCATCCTCTTCTTCACGTGCACATTCTATTTGTAGATGTTGCTATGAGGACAGATTCGCCGGAAATGACTGATGTGGAGCTTGGGGTCGACAATTTTGCATCTTCAGCAAGGGCAGGCCGCCGGAATGCCGTCCCGGACATCCAGGGTTCAGAAGGGACAGGTGGGACTTCCGAGTTGCCCGTCAAACTGGAGACCCTCTCCATAAAGGAAGGTAACAATCAATTTCTCTTAAATTCAGCAGCACTTCTCTCTGAAGCAATTCTTTCCTCTGCAAGTCTCCCTGTTAAGTACTGGTTTCTCCTACTGTTTACTAAAACCTTTCATCTTTTGTGTTTATGGTTTAAGTAGATTTTTCAGGCTTTCCGAAAGTGGACAGTTTCATCTTTTTGTCTCCTGGTGTTTTGTATGTGGAAACTGAGCATTTATGTATTCACTGGATGTGTATTGTCATACACAGAGCTGGTGATTGGGAGTAAAAGGACAGCACATATTATCCTTTCCCTCAAGGAGCTTACAAAATTGATTGAGAAGTTCTCAGAAAGAACATAATTTCTCTTCTGCCACCCACTGACAAATCACTTTAGGAGCCTCTGCTTCACTGCACTAATTTCTTAAAATATATGTTTATTGATTTCAGAGAGAAAGGGAGAGGGGGAGAGAGAGATGGAAACATGGATGATGACAGAGAATCATTGATTGGCTGCTTCCTGCACACCCCACACTGGGGATCCAGCCCGCAACCGGGGCATGTGCCTTACCGGAATAGAACCTTGACCTCCTGGCTCATAGGTCAACACTCAATCACTGACTGAGTCACGCCGGCCAGGCTCACTGCAGTATTCCATAAGCTTAGCTATTTCTCTTAGAGGAAGTTTATTATCAACTAGAGATGAGATTTTTAAGGCATTTGTATAAAAGATGATCAGACTTCAACCAGTAGTTGAATTAAGAAAAAAAAAAAAGAGCTGTCAAGCAAATGAAGGAAAATCTTGAGTCTTTCTCCCCATGGCTTACATACAGCCCATCTAGCTTTTGCAGAGTTTAGTTTTCTGAGACTAAATATAATAATAATTTTAATAAAGGTCTTTAAAAGTCCCTTCATTTGGAAACATTCAAAGAGGTTAAAGATAATTTCAGTTCCAAGTCATTACCAAAATGCCTGTGTCATGTGCCCTATTTTTTAATTTCTTTTTTAAATTGAATTTATTGGGGTGACATTGGTTAATAAAACCATGCAGGTTTCAAGTGTACAATTCAATAGCACATCATCTGCATACTGCATTGGCGCTCACTACTCAAATCAAAATCTCTTTCTGCCACCATTTGTTCCCCCCTATACCCTCTTCTGCTATCACCACACTGTGGTCTGTGTCTATGTGTGTTTTTTTCTTCTTTTAATCTCTTCACCTTTTTTACCCAGCTCCCCAACCACCCTCCCCTCTGACAGCTGTCAGTATGTTCTCTAGATCTATGCTTCTATTTTCATTTTGTTGGTTAGTTTAATTCTGTTCATTAGATTCCACATATGAATGAAATTATATGGTATTTGTCTTTCTCTGACTGGCTTATTTCACTTAGCATAATGCCCTCCAGGCCCATCTATGCTATCACAAAAGGTAAGATTTCTTTCTTTTCACAGCCATGTCATATTCCATTGTGTAAATGTGCCACAGCTTTTTTACCCAATCATCTACTGATGGGCACTTAGGCTGCTTCCAAATCCTCATTATTGTTAATAGCACTGCAGTGAATATAAGTGTGCATATATTCTTTCAAATTAGTGTTTCAGGTTTCTTCGGATATATTTCCAGAAGTGGAATCGCTGGGTCATCCCATTTTAGATGTCAAGGTAGACGTGTGTGTGTGTGTGTGTGTGTGTGTGTGTGTGTGTGTAGAAATGTATTCCTGGTGACAGTGAAGAATGAGAGAGCTAGAAGCTTCTTCACATCTACCCCATTAATGGGAGCCCCAAAGAAGGCTCTTAGTTCCTTGCCTCAGGAGGTTATTTACTACCTGGTAAACTTACAAATGTTCCTGGTTTGATTCCCATGAAATAAACATGCCATTGTTAGGCCAGGGGCTATGGACAGATCCTGGAGTCCCATGGTTACCTCACCTTTTTCCAAAGGTCATTGCATTTCTCATATGGGACACTACAAGTAAAAGTTACGAAGTGTACACATAAGCCCTGGCCAGTGTGGCTCAGCTGGTTGGGTGTCATTCCGTGCATGGAAAGGTTGCTGGTTGCACATTCCCTGGTTTCTGGCTCAATCAGGAGGCAGCCGATTGATGTTTCCCTCCTACATGGATGTTTCTCTCTCTCCCTCTTCCTTCCTCTCTCTCCTCTAAATAAAATAATCTTTGTTTAAAAAGTATACACATAAGATGAAAAAAAAGATGGAAGAAATAAAAGAAATAAAGTAAATATGTTTTTTTGGCTTTTTAAGTTTGAAAATGCCATATACAATAGACCTCCCTTATCCACAGGGGATATGTTCTCAGACTCCCAGTAGATGCCTGAAACCACAGATATTACCAAACCCTACATATACTATGTTTTCTCCTAAATATTCATACCTACGGTAAAGTTTAAATTATAAATTAGGCACAGAAACAATAACAACAATGACTGTAATACAATAAAACAATTACAACAATATACTGGAATAGAATCATGGGAATGGCTTCGGGGCCATTTTAGCTAAAATAAGGGTCACTTAAACACAAACACTGCAAAATTGCAACAGTCCAGCTGATAACCAAGACAGCTACCACATAACCAGTGGGTGGGAATCATGTATGTTTAGCCTGGAGACACTGGGCAAAGGGATGAATCATGTCCCAGGTGGAACGGAGCAGGATGACATGAGATTTCATCACAACTACTCAGAACAGTGTGCAATTTAAAACTTGTGAATGTTTTTATCTGGAATTTTCCATTTAATATTTTTGGGCCATGGTAACTAAAACCACAGAAAGTGAAACCGTGGTTAAGGGGGGACAACTGTATGATTATCAGAACATGATGTAGCTGTTGACTGGGCATTCCCAGCTAATGAGGTAGAGAAGTTACTTGTTAATATAAAAGGTCTAATTAAAGTTTATAAACACACACACACCAAAATACATGTTGACATTACTCCGTTAAGGTAACGAAAGCTAATATACTGGAAGAGAGTTAGTAGTCTTCATCGTTTTATATTCTGGTCACTAGAGGAACTATTATCTGAAAGAATATTGCTACTATTTTTATATGATTCGTTAAATCGTTTTGAAATAAAGTCAAGGGCATCAACTAAGAAACTTAAAGTACTAAAAATACAGTCACGAGATGTTAAAGAATACACAAAAGGAAACGCATCTATAGAGGTAGATGGCATAGACAATGTTTTATTAACAGAGCTATAAATAACTGGATTTAAGGCCTATTTTCTTTTTGGTTAGCTAAGTACAGATATTATTAAGTGTTTAAAAATTAGTAGTTTCCAATTGCTAATCAAAAAAAAAGTTGGGGTCTGACTTTTCTTTGTGTAGTTTTCATGTCTGGACTGATGGCAAAGTATGTCTTAATCAAGTAGAAAATGACTAGGGTGCATAAAGGAAAATCTTAACATATTACATATATGAATGAAAATTATTTATTTTTTAGATGTAAAAAAGAAAGATGAAGGAAAAACACAAGACCAACCGGAAAAGCCCCCAAATGAAGGAAAATGAAGGCTCATAACCTATCAAGAGTGCTGAATTTCTGCAAGGTGAAAGACTTTAGTGGTTCTGCTTTCCTGAGATGTTCGATCTGGTAGTAACCATGGTAACATTGCAGCCCTAAGCAACATGTGTGTACTAGATAATTTTGTTGTGATGCTATTCACTTGGATTGCAACCATGATGTCCACTATAGGTTATTAAAAGGCAGATTACATCCAAATTGCACCCAAGGAAAAGATTAAGAATGTATGGTCATTTAAATACATATCACTGTCTATAAATCCAATAAAATCCACTGTTCTCTTTTAGATTTATTTAGCCAGATGTGGTTTTAATTCTGTTTTTATGGTAGTAGATAAAACATTTAAACCAAACACCACTAATGTATGGAATTTGGAGGAATTTATGGTGGGCTTTTTTTGTTTGGTTGGTGGTTTGTTTTGGTAAGAAGGAATAATAGGTCAAACCACAAGGATAGAATGTTTTTAACTGGTTTTTTTTTTTTTTGGTCCCAACCCCTAAAAAAATTTAGAGGAAAAGTGTAAAATCTTGACAATCTGAACATTTCCAGGATGTTTTTGTCTGACATACATTGCTTCTAGTCTATGCATACTGTGACTTTTCATGTGGACTCTTAAGATGCAAAATTTGTGATCAATTGTTTATATGTAATATGCCTATTAAATGAATTTTATTATCTTCCTTAACTTGGCGTGTGTATGTGTATGTTTTTATTTAATGTGAATTATGCAAAAACACTTTATTACTTGCTTTATAGTCTTTTCTTATTCTTCGGGCTTTTGTGTATATATGACTTGTTTCTAAAGTAATTTTCTCAGACTTTAATTTTTATATCTTTCCTAAAGTAGGTAACATAAGAGTAGGCACTTAAATATTTGAAGAATGAGGTGGGTATAAATAGCAAAATACTTGCTTTTAATATATATTTAAGTATGTTTTAAAATAAACAAAACCAAAGCCTTAGTAAATGTTGATTTATTAGACATTTTAGGAAAAGAATAGAATTCTGAATTTTTAAAAAAATTACCAATAAATTATTTTTATTTTCAGATATATATGCATGCAGTTTTACTTTATTTGATTGTAACTTAGGCCATGTCTGTATACAGTAATCAAATAAACTCTTTCACTGTTAAATCTGTTACCCACACAAGTCTCCTTCGTTTTTATCTTCTAAAGTATACCAGGTGAAAAATGACAACACATTTTTTAAAATTTGTTGACAATGTATTTTAAGAGAGGAAATTAATAATCTTTGTGATATAAAACACCTCCTGATTATTTATGAAGTTCATATTTATATATAATGTACCCAAAAGGGTAGATTTCCAAGAACCTGATTGTTTTAAATTCTCAAATACAATTTTTTCTTTATAAATTAATCAAAAGTACTATTTTAGGTGTAGCACTTATTTAATATTCAATAAAATATATTTTAGCCATTAAAATGATATTTCTGAGTTGTTTAATAACACAATATTATATAGGGTGTCCCAAACAATGTATACACATTTTAAATGATTATAAAGTCAGTGTATTAAGATACAGTTCATTTTCAAAATTTAAAAGAATCTACAGAAATGAATAAACTTTTTTGTCAATGCCTGTTTGTTTCAAACTGATGACCGTTCTGGTCCAGGCACTGCTGATAACGGCACAGTGGAATCACAATCAAGAATCATTTCTTTTGGTATTTGTGCACTCACTTCGTCAGCGGTTGCTGGTTTTGTACTGAAGCATAGTAACCTCCATCTTGTATAAAAACTGCTGTTTGAAATTCTCTGCTATTGTTAGATAGTCCCTTGTTCTGTAAACTCTGTCATTTTTAGACAGTCTCTTATTCTATAAAATAACTTTTAGTTTGAATAACAGAAAAAGATAAAAACTTAACTGTCTGACCTTGCAAGCTAGCCATCTAACATAATCGACTAATACTGATAATAATTCCCAAATTCTTATGCCAAATGTTTGTTCTTTATGTATCCAAGATTACAAACTGTCTGTAACAATAACTCACACAGAGCTCTTTGTTAAATCTGCAGACAAAGAAGCTCAAAAGGTATAAATATGGGAAAACTTCCTGTGTGACTTCACTCAGAGATTTGGAAGAAACACCTCCCTCTGGGCCGGGTGCAATAAGACTCCTCATTAATTGGCTCATTAAGGCGTCTTGTATCTCACTCGCTGATTTACGATACAACAGTACCATAAACTTTATCTTTTATGTATCCCCATTAAAAAGTCTAGTGCATACATTTTCTTTGCTCAAAGCTTAGTCTGGCTTCAACCTTTATTTCAAATCAGTTAAACCTGAAAAGGAGTGAAAAGTAAGTAAGTTATCAGCTGTTAAAGTGTGTATACATGTTTTTGAGACAGCCTGTATAATCATTATAAAGATGGGTGAGAGTAGAACAGTGGTTTTCATCCTGGGGGAAGGGGCAATTTTACCTCCTAAAGGACATTGGGCAGTGCCTGGATACATTTTTGGCTGCCATCAACAGGGGAGTGGGTTGGGGAGAGAGGGCGCTACTGGCATCTAGTGGGCAGAGGCCAGGGATGCTGCTAAACTGCTAAGCATACAGCAAAGAATGATCTGGCCGTGTGTGTGTGTGTGTGTGTGTGTGTGTGTGTGTGTGTGTGTGTGTGTGTGTGTGTTGCTGCGGCTGAGAAACCCCGGAGTACAGTTTAATCAGCAAGCACATGAATTTTGGATTCAGATGATCGGGGTTTGAATTCTAGCTCTGCTGCTCACAATCTGTGTGATCTTTGTCAATTTACATCATGACTCTACGTCTCAGTGTAATCCTCTTGGAATGGCATTAATAATAGCACATATTTATAGGCCTGGTGGAAGTGGTAAACAAAACAGTACAGCAGGTCCTCAAATAAGGTTGTTTTGTTCAACATTGTTTTGTTGCAATGTTGGTGAAGAGAAAAAGAATTCAATTCCAGGCCAGGGCCACTGCCTGTGTGGAGTTGGCACATTGTCCCCATGTCTGCCTGGCTCTTCTCTGGGTACTCCCGCTTCCTCCCACATCCCGAAGGTACGCACGTTAGGTGAATTAGTGTGTCTACCTTGTCTCACTCTGAGTGTGTGTGAGTGGTCCTGCGATGGGGTGTGTTGTCTAGGGTTGGTTCCCACCTCGTGCCCTGAGCTGCCAGGATAGGCTCCAGCCACCTGCATCCCTGAACTAGAACAAGCGAGTTGGAAAATAATTCTTACTTGTTTCAATTAATGTTTGTTAAGTTTATGTATCACTCACATTTATTTCAATGTTTAATGTGAAAAGTGTTTTGGGTCTTGAGATAGAAGTTTGGTGATATTTTTGTGACCAGAAATATGCCATAAGAACTTTACTCTTGTTTATATCAATTAGCCTAGGGGTTTTGGTGGTGTTACACAGAGTTTCACTTAAAATTGTGGTTTCCAAGAATCTACTGACGATGTTAAGTGAGGACTTACTGTGTATGTAAAACACTTGACTAATTCCTGGCAAAGAACAATTCAATAAATATTAGCTGTCATCACCATCGTTTTTTACTCCAGATGCTTTTGCCATTATTCTCTGAGAGTGAAGGTGGCGGGCAGCTGAATTTGTTCATTTGGCTGTCTTCTGCCTTCCTCTGCAATTTCACAAACATCCCCAATTCTTGGTGCTGGGAGAGGACACTGTGATGGAAATTGACAATTCATGGTAATTACTACATTAGTGCCAATTCAATCATGCTAATGAGCTGCTGACATGCTTTAACGATGAGTCACTCACTAGTGTTATGACAGTTACTGCAACAAAACAATTTTGTGTCAGTATCTAGATGAGTAACTTGTTCCATGAAAATGTAGGGGGGAAAAAAAGCAACCCATCTCTTGGGTCACAGTTTTATTGGGTGCTCATCTCTCCTTTAGAAGCCAGAAATGAAGCCATGTTCTCCCTCGTTATTGCTAGTGATGACATATAGTCTGAGAGCTGTATATGCTAAATCACTTATTCATCACAATGCACACATAAATGTCCCATCATATACATATTTATAAGTATTTTTGCATTACAGAGGGTATCAAGCTTGTTGAATATTTGCCAACAGATTTTTTTTTCTGAGAAGGAATTCAGACAAAGAACAAGAGATCAATAGTTTAAAGACAAAGTTGAATCCATCTACCAATTTTTTTAAAAATCAAGGTATTTGGGGGAATGTATAGTACAGTATTTTGTCATAGCAAGTACATACTTTCAACAAAGCTACCCAGTTGGGGCTCATTAAGGAAGTCTCCATGCCCATTTTGCCTTTTTCTTTTTACAAACCTCTTGCTTTATTTAGTGGCTGTAAAGTCTTAATTAATACTGTGAGATAAACCAAGACAAAAGGGGACAATAAGCCAGCTGTCTGGAAACTTGATTCTATACAAAAGAGGAGAGAGAAGAAACAAAAAGAAACTGTTTTGTGTCATGTGCCCGAAGATATTTTTGTGATCTGGCTGCAAAGATTTGAACCTCCTTACAATGTGAGTGACTGCAGGGGGAGGCCAAAGGAAATGGTGCATTTGCTTCAGTTTTGCTTGCTCAGGGGATTGAGCAGCTTGGGTAGGTGATGAAAAAAGAGGGAACAAGCCCTAACCAGTTTGGCTCAGTGAATAGAGCGTCAGCCTATGGACTCAAGGGTCCCAGCTTCGATTCCGGTCAAGGGCATGTACCTTGGTTGCAGGCACATCCCCAGTAGAGGGTGTGCAGAAGGCAGCTATCGATGTTTCTCTCTCATCGATTTTTCTAACTATCCCTCTCTCTTTCTCTCTGTAAAGAATCAATAAAATATATTTAAAAAATTAAAAAAGAAAAAAAGAAAGAGGGAACAAGAGGAAGAATTACCAAAGCACACTAGCCTGATGCCTTATCTGTGGAAACGGACTCCTCAAGTTCAAATTACAGCTTTGCCATTTGCTCTCATGACTTTGGTTTTTTTTACTCTATGCTTCAACTTCTTCAATGTGCAAAATGGTGAATTACTATGGAAATTAAATTAGTGAACACTGATAAATTGCTAAGGAAAGTGCCTGATACATAGCAAAAGTTATTATTAATTTTCTGAGAATAAAGGGTGGTGGTGACTTTAAGGTGAATGTCCTACATCTGTTGATATTTTTCTATGTTATTTGCCAATAACATTTTCTATGTTATTTTTCTATAGATTTTCCTTTTATTCCTTTTCTTTCTTTTCTTTCCACAAGCAGCAACTGCTTAGCTGAAACTAGGATTGATTAAAGAGAGTGGATTTTTTTCCAGGAGTTATTGATGGCAACTCTAAGAAAAAAATCTGCAGCTATTTAAAATATAACAAACAAAGGGCTAAGGGAAGGTTCTGTTGCTACCTGTTAAAAACCTAGAATGGATTTCTTACTGAGCACACATCAATAGGAATAATTTTATTATTACAGCCACGCTTTGTGTGACTGGTGATTACTCAGCACCCTAGTAGATCCTTTTGAAGCTTCATGATAATAATCATACAAGATAGTTGTTAATGTTTCTCATTTTGTTAGGGGCAAAAATAGAATATTGAGGACTAGCTTTGGGTATGGGAACTATTAATCATGCTCTGTTTACCACGATTGCCTTGTGTTGGTTAAAGAAAGGACATTCTGACCTGGCTGGGAGTTGTACGCCCCCAGGACCTGGGAGTCAACCTTGGACCTGGGAGTCAACCTTGGACCTAGGAATCAACCTTGCAACCATTCTCATTCAAGAACTGCCTATTATCATGGAAAGATTAACAAGCTTGTTGCCCAAACAATCCAGTCCCACCTCAGCCTCCTACTTCCCCATGTAATCCTTGTCCTACCTTATATAAACAGCGGGTCCTACCTTATATAAACAGCGGGCTTATGGGGGTGACCTAATCCTCTCCCATAACGCCAGCAGTATTGGAATAAATGCTCATATATGATTCAACTGTGTCTCTGCTTAATTGGCTCAAGTAGTGACAGGCAGCACGGACCCATTGGTTGTCCAGTTACAACTGTACAGATGAAGAAAATGGATTTAGGGATTGCCTTTCAGAATTCACTCAAGAAAGTGGCAACCGTGGTCTGAGACAGGGTCCTCAGATCCAGGACATACTCTGCCTCGCCCGCACCAAAAGGC